GGCGGAGGTGAGGGCGGGGTCGGTCTGGGCGGTGGAGACAGAGGCGGCGGCGGCGAGGGAGGCGGCGCCAAGGGCGGAGGCGGCGACGGCGGTGGTGGGCTTGGCGGAGGTGGTGTGGGCGGCGGCGGTGACGGTGGCGGCGGCGACGGCGATGGCGGCGAGGGCGGCGGCGGCGATGGCGGCGGTGGCGATGGCGGCGGCGGCGACGGCGGCGGAGGCGACGGCGGCGGCGGGCTCGGCGGAGGTGGGCTGGGTGGCTGCGGAGGCGAGGGTGGCGGCGGGCTCGGCGGAGGCGGGCTGGGCGGCGGCGGTGAGGGTGGCGGCGGCGAGGGGGGTGGTGGCGAGGGTGGGGGCGGCGAGGGCGGTGGTGGCGAGGGAGGTGGTGGCGACGGCGGCGGAGGCGAGGGCGGCGGCGGGCTCGGCGGAGGCGGGCTGGGTGGCTGCGGAGGCGAGGGCGGTGGCGGGCTCGGTGGAGGCGGCCCGGGTGGCTGCGGAGGCGAGGGTGGCGGCGGGCTCGGCGGAGGCGGGCTGGGAGGTGGCGGTGAGGGAGGCGGTGGCGAGGGCGGCGGCGGCGATGGCGGCGGCGGCGAGGGCGGTGGTGGCGAGGGAGGCGGCGGCGACGGCGGCGGAGGCGAGGGTGGCGGCGGGCTCGGCGGAGGCGGGCTGGGCGGCGGCGGTGAGGGTGGTGGTGGCGAGGGCGGTGGTGGCGAGGGAGGCGGCGGCGACGGCGGCGGAGGCGAGGGCGGCGGCGGGCTGGGCGGAGGCGGACTAGGTGGCTGCGGAGGTGAGGGCGGTGGCGGGCTTGGCGGAGGTGGGCTGGGCGGTGGCGGTGAGGGCGGCGGATGCGAGGGAGGTGGCGGCGAGGGTGGCGGCGGCGAGGGCGGTGGTGGCGAGGGAGGCGGCGGCGATGGGGGTGGCGGGGAGGGTGGCGGTGGGCTCGGCGGAGGCGGGCTGGGAGGCTGCGGAGGCGAGGGTGGTGGCGGGCTTGGCGGGGGCGGGCTGGGTGG